TTTGAATGGCAGAAGCACGGCGAAGCTTCACCGCCCATCCCATCCCCAGATTGGCCGCCCAAGCCTCTGCACCTCACGTTCCTCGCCCACTCCTCGTTCGCACAGCAAACACCATCGCCACCCAACCAGAAATCCTCACGTGTTCCACCGACCACGCCCCGTCCACCCACCTCCCCGCCACACTGCCGACCACACACCTGCCCCCGCACCGATCCCGCGGCGCGCGCGACGCTCCTTTGACAGCCACGTCTTCCCACTGGCATGCGGGTCCCGCATCCCGCGCGCGGCCCTCCTCAAATGCCCCACCCTCGCCTCCCCACCTCCGCACAAACGCGTCGTTTCCGCCCGCTCCACAGGATCCTCTGCGCCACCGCAACCGTGTGACCCCGCCCGTGCCGCCGCCGCCGCCGCCGCCGGCGATCCCGATCCGCCGACCTGTCCCACCCCACCCCACCCCGCTCGCAGCCATGTCGCCGTCGGAGCCTACGCGGGAGGAGAGCGTGTACATGGCCAAGCTGGCGGAGCAGGCGGAGCGGTACGAGGAGATGGTCGAGTTCATGGAGCGCGTGGCGCGCTCCGCGGGCGGCGCCGGCGGCGGGAGGAGCTCTCCGTGGAGGAGCGCAACCTGCTGTCCGTCGCCTACAAGAACGTCATCGGCGCCCGCAGGGCGTCGTGGCGGATCATCTCCTCCATCGAGCAGAAGGAGGAGGGCCGCGGGAACGAGGCGCACGCGGCCTCCATCCGCGCCTACCGCTCCAAGATCGAGGCCGAGCTCGCCCGCATCTGCGACGGCATCCTCGCGCTGCTCGACTCCCCACCTCGTCCCGTCCGCCGGCGCCGCCGAGTCCAAGGTCTTCTACCTCAAGATGAAGGGCGACTACCACAGGTATAACCATTACCGCCAGCGGATCTCGCTTTTTGTTCTGCGTATCCGCCTGTAGACGATGCGATCTATTTATGGAGTGGCCGAGGAGGGAGGTTTTTGGTGGATGTACGCGCGATCTTATATGCGATGTGTGGCGGAGCTGATGGAATTTCCCTTAGTATATGATGAGGGATCTTTGTGTTTGGGATTTAGATTAGCGGGGGTTTTGAATCCTTATTTATTGCTTGGTTATTATTATCTGTGGGGGGCATCACTATCTGATTTGGGGCCTTTGTATATATATGAACCATGGTAGTTGTGGTTTGGAGAAGTCAAAACTTAAGACCTGTATGCAGATGTTTCGAGTGGGGATGACGCGGGTCTGAGTGATGATTAGGTCTAAATCTAATGCGTGACCTCTTTTTTTTGAAATCTTTTTGTGTGTTACGCTCTTGTAATTTGTGGTTTCTAGTCAAAAGAAAGAAAGGGAAAGCGATTGTGGTGCCTGTGACGTTATTGAGTGAGGTTGTTCTCCTTTCATTTATGGTGCATGCTGAGGTTCCTATTTGTCTATATAATGTGCTGTCTCTTATAGTAGAAGATTCAAGGATACGAATTCGTGATCTATTGATCCCCCCTACTGTACGGATATCTTGGTATCTGATTTCTCATGATGATTTTGTAGGTACCTTGCTGAGTTCAAGTCAGGTGCGGAGAGGAAGGATGCTGCGGAGAGTACCATGAATGCTTACAAAGCTGCTCAGGTTTGATCTTTGTGCATATGTTGATAGGTTGACTGCATATCTTGTTAATTGAGATTCATTGTTGTTGGTTTTTGGTTTGTAGGATATTGCTCTTGCTGATCTGGCCCCAACCCACCCCATCAGGCTTGGGCTGGCACTCAACTTCTCAGTGTTCTACTATGAGATCCTGAACTCCCCTGATCGTGCTTGCAACCTTGCAAAACAGGTTTGCTTCTTGTCCTTCCATCTCCCTTAGTGATTTATTTTCATTTTGTGACATGATGTCTCCTAGATTGTATAGCTGGACAACCGGTGGAGTGCATAGACAGCCTCTGTCTCTGCTTATGTAGGGTTTGGTTTGTTCAATAAAAGATGGTGCAAAGGAAATAGTTTACTTGTAGCTGATGATATATGATGCTAGGGATTCGTAGATTATAATAACTTGTTTTAAATTGGTATTGCAAGCAAAACTTGATTGATGGCCATCACCGCTAGTCTGCTACTTACATGTTGTTGGCCCTCTATACGGAATTAGTGGTTTGTGGTGAACTGTAGATCCCTAGACTTGAACTACTTTGCATCCCCGAACAAATTTTCTAGCACTCTATTAGGGGATTACTGTTTGTGTGCATGTAACACAGGTTTGTGTTCTGCATGCGTATTTACTGAAACATAATCTCTTACTATTAGGTGTGTCATATTGAAGTAATGGATCTAATTACTCTGGGATGCTAACAAATGCTCGCTGTTGTTTCTTCACTCAATTTGTCATGTTTTGTTGCATACATTTTCTATTTCATGTTGAACATTGACAAGCTACAACCTAATGATTATAAGTCACCTAGAGAATTCTCAATTTCCCTTCTATGATGGCTAGACTGATTAACTGGTCTAGAATACATAAAGTTGGACAGAGGACAGTCTTCATATATTACTTTCCTAGGCAACGAAGTAGTACACTTGATGTTGTCATCAATCTAAGCATCCTTCACTTAATATTTGCTGTAGTTGACGTGAATTAAATTCAATGTTTGTTGTAGGCTTTTGATGAGGCAATCTCTGAGCTAGACAGCCTGGGAGAGGAGTCCTACAAGGACAGCACTCTGATCATGCAGCTCCTGCGTGACAACTTGACCCTATGGACTTCTGACACCAACGTGAGTTTCTTCTTTCCCACAGAATTGTTAAGCGTGTGACCTTTGGCTCTCTTTGCCCATCATCACTAGTCATGGTTCTCATGTGACCTTGGTTCTTTCTTTCCTCATCAGGAGGATGGCGGCGACGAGATCAAGGAAGCTGCTGCCCTGAAAGAATCCGCAGAGGGTCAGTAAGATGTACTGGATCTCCCGACCTGATGTCTGCTGATGTTGGGGAGTGACCAGGACCGCTGCTGTTCTTTAATTCTGATAGCTTATCTTCTAGTATACCTTGTTGTCTTCCATCATCGCACGCACCAGTGTATGCGATGGAGCTGCTGCTATTGCTGCTGTTTTAATTAAGCACTCTAGATGTCATGCCGCACGCTTTGTTTCGGTTTCAAGTCGATAAATGATGGCTGGATGCTGGTTTTCGTGCTCCAAGCCGGCCACCAGGAAAAAGACCTGCTTCTCTTGTGTTGCAGCGTTGTGTTGGAATGACCTACGGAGTATTTGACTTGACAGGCCTGCTGCCGAGTGTTTTTCTGTTATGATGGCTTTTGCAAAGCTATTTGGCTTAATGTCCCAGAATAATCTGAATTTGCTGCATTGGAATTGTGTGTGTGGTCGCTACTGGAACTGGACAGAACATAGTTGTCGGCATTTCTTCCTAGCGTGTCCTATGGCCGCATGCACGCACATCGGCTTTTAGGCCGTGCCCGTTGTGGCATCTGATGCGCATTTTTTGGGGGTATGGACCAAGAATCATGCAGGTTCGATGCATAGTGGGAATACTAACAGTTCCACTTGTGCAATATGCAAGGCAATAATTCTGCCGCTCTGCACTTCGCTATTGACACGAAAGATGATGTAGATGCCAGGAGTCATCCAGTCGAGATTGCCGCCCTCGTCAGTACTAGCGTGTTGAGTGCGTTCTTAACTCGTTTTCCTTGTCTCCCAACTTTTTTTTACGAAACGTCAAAGGCCCCGTTCGCGTGCCTTAGAGGCGGTCCCCGTTCGCGTGCCTTAGAGGCGGTTTCATTCGGAACAGTATTTTTCTCTCACAGATTCTTTCAGAATTCCTCCAAACCATCCAAATTCCTCCAGAACCATGCCATCCGAATGGGGCCAAAGCCCTTAGATTCCAATGTCTCCGGTCTTCATTTCGTCGTATTTTAAGTTTGAAACAATGACGTAGACATAATTTTTTTCAAGACTACTAATTCAAAGTGATGAGATCATCTTTCAACAATGCCCATTCAAAGTAAATCATTTTTCGTTGTTATTTGACAATTAATGGCCAATTATAATCTAATTAGACTTAAAAGATCCGTCTCGTGAATTTTATCTAAACTGTGTAATTAATTTTATTTTTTATTTATATTTAATGCTTCGTGCATACGTCAAAGATTCGATGTGGCGGGGAATCTTGAAAAATTTTATAAAATTTTTGGAACTAAACAGGCACCTAGTATTGCAGTTGATGGTGCACTTATTCAGTATTACAAATGTTAATGAGATATTTCATAAACTTAGTTAATTTTAAAATAGAAAAATATGACTTGCAACAAATTAAAACAACAAACGCATTAACGCAGGAATTGACCATGGGCCTTTGGAGTTGCCTTCAAAATCTTGTCAGCACTTGGCTTTTCAATCAAACATCACATAAAAAAAAACATCCCAACAACGCTATACCAACCATAAACTGAATCAGCGGCCAATTTCATACCTACAAACTGAAGCAACGCTATATTTTAAATATGATTTTCATACCTACAGTACAAAGCAGTGCATCGATAGTCAAATTTGACAGAGACGTGAAGACAAAAATAAGAGTACAAGACATTGGAACTGACAACATTGGCATGTAAATTTACAATGCAGTGTTTCAATTTTTTTGGGGTTTTTGAGACATATATATATATATATATATATATATATATATATATATATATATATATATATATATATATATATATATATATATATATATATATATATATATATATATATATATATATATATATATATATATATATATATATATATAGACCATAGAATCTATCTAGACCGATGAAAGAAAACTTCTCCGATGACAACAAAATAGACTAAACTCTTCTAGACTAACTTTTTTTAACCAATTTCTGCTAATTTTTCTTATACCGATACACAACACATCAACAGACTGGAAGTAGATACGAATAATAGCATTAAGGTGTAAAACAGATGAACCATGTGCAAGGACGAAGCTAGTCAGTCGTCCTCGTCGGGCCTGCTTGCTAGGCAGAGCTCATGTAGCTCGTTCAGTATCCATTCCTCCCCTGTGTGGCCTCCGAGAACCAGGACCCTGGTGCCGCCAATCACGCAGGTGCTGTGCCCCCAGGCGAACTTGGGTGGCTGGCCGGGTACGTTCAGGATCCTCCATGTCGGCTTCTCCTCTGCGGGATCGATCAGGAACAGCTGCGCTGGGGAGTGGAGTCCCGCAATCGAGCCCCCAAATATGATGATCCGTCCACAGGGCAGGCTCACTGCGACGTGATCGAGCCTTGGTGGCGGGCCGGCATTTGGGAATCCAGTCGTCGCCAACTGTCTCCACTGCGGACTATCTTCGCTAACATCCATTGAGTAGGCGTCGCTGGAGCGCAGTCGGAGCGAGCCGCTCTTTGCCAGTCCACCAAACATGAACAGTTTAGTTGTACCATAGACGGACATGGTGTGGCCGAGGCGGGATGGAGGTGACCAGGATGTAGGAATCTCCCTCCATGCAGGTTTCTCCTTTGTGAGGTCAAGGAGGAAGGTGTCGCTGAGAAGAACACCAGACTCGGTGCAGCCACCTGATACGACGAGCTTCGAACCATCCAGGGTGCATGAGCTGTGCCAAGACCGTGGCAGTGGAGGACCCTCGCTTGCAACCTCCCTCCATGTTGGCTGCTGAGCATCAAGGTCAAGGACAAAGACATCGTTGAGCAAACCTTGCTGTCCGCAGCCTCCAAATACTACCAGCCATGACCCATTCAGCCATGATAGAGTGTGCCCCCACCGGCCAGGTGGAGAGGCAGAAACCTTGACGCGGCGCCATTCTGGCCTTGCAGCCTCCAAGTTAAGCACAAATGTATCATCCATAGGCTGCATGTTGACACCCTCCCCTCCGAAAAGGACAAGACGGTTACCAACAGCGCAGGCACTGAAGTTGCATCGGGAAGGCTCAACGCGCCCTCCAACTGTGAACTTCCTCCATGAGGCTGCCTCAAGAGTTGTTAACTCTCTTGCAAGACGACCCCATCCTACCATCTTGGTGCTCATCTCAAGCCTGACAGTGACATCCCTTCCCCATGCGTTCTGGCAGACCATCTTCCTCAGGTGATCATTCTTGGTTAGTTCATGCATTCTGGTACAGACTGATCCAATGGATGCAACATCTCTTGGTGACAGGCGAGATAGAATGTTGTGTGCAAGAACTTCGTCTGACAATTGAAATATACCACAGTGGTCTGAACTCTGGATTTTTGGAGCATGCTCATGGGAAGCTGAGTTCAGATCTTGAATGCTGAGCCTGTTGTTGGACTGTTGCTTATACACTGGATATGATACGCTGCTGAGATCGATGTTTGCCTCAGAGAATAGCTGGATTCCAATAACATGTGTCACATAGCCATCATCCCCATGCATAGGAATGAGCCTTAATCTGTTGTAAAGTGGAGCACCATCCTTCCGGAAATTCAGCAGCTCGCCTTGGAATTCAATCCCCTCATTGAGGCATCGCCGAATCTCTGAAACAACCATGGGATCAACAAGGGGATGTCGCCTTTGGGCACGTGGATCCCGAAATTGTAGGAATCGGCTGAAAGACAAGTTTGAGTGAACACAGTTCGTGAGATGCTTCAATAGGCCCTCTGTCAAGTTTGTCAGTGTTAGCAATTTTAAAGTTGTACAAGCAAGAAAGCAAGCAGAAAATAACTACTACTACTACTACCTCTATCCCAAATCATAAGACGTTTTGGCTTTTCTAGACACACACTTTTGCTATGCACTTAGATATACACTGTCTAAATACATAGTAAAAGCAATGTATCTAAAAAGCCAAAACTCCTTATAATTTGGAGTGGAGGGAGTACAAGATGTTATAACATAAAATCATTTGGATCGACTAGCCTGACAAAAGATAAATGACTTCTCTCTGCTTCCATGTGGATGTTCATTGTCTTATGTCAACATTAACAGGAAACAAGTTCCAAAATTGGCCGTTACCATGCTGCTTTCGCATGACATTTGAATTTCTAAAAATTTCAGTACTGAACTTCTTAAGTAGATCTGATGCTAAATGCCTAGACAACTTCATACTGGATCTGGTCTATGGCAGGGGCTCGAGGATTATCTTTCCTGACTGCCCTCCTCCCCGGTAGTTAGAGTGTCTAACTCAGTAGTGGTCGTCTTGTGTGTTTATGTCAACGACGCGAGTGTAATCCTAGAAACTGGGGTGTGTGCGTGTGTGTGGTGTGTAAGGTGTTGTTTGGGCTCTTGCCCTTTATTCTCTTCTTAATTTAATGAAGCGCAGCTCTCCTGCGTTTTCGAGAAAAAAAAACTTCATACTGGATCCAATGATTTCTATTCAACATTATCATATGAAGTAAACTGGAATTCCCAATGATTTCCCAATCTTTCACCAACATCCAATTTCAGATAACAGAATTTTACAACCAGACTTCAAATCAACCACCTGCTCAGGTGCTCACCCAGTTTGGCATGGCCTACAAATCTTTTTTGTAGACCCAGATATGCTAGGTATTATTCTTGAATAATTCCTCTCTCTATGTGCAAGTGGCCAACTTAGAAGTGCAACCTAACTACTTAAGTATCAAGCAAAATATCTTCAGAAGTGCAACCTAAGTATCAAGCAAAATATCTCATAGGTAACCATCAAAATGCTCTTTAATCAACCCCCCCCCCTGGCCGCCTCTTCTACTCACAAGAAAACCAAAATGGCTCAGGCAGTGGTACTACGCGATCCAAACCTATATTATTTACAATCCTCATTTGATAAATTTACCTACAACATGAACAAACTCAAAATAAATCTGATCTCAGGAGACCCTGTCTACGTGTTTTTCTGCATATCATGCAATAAATATTTTTTAAAACTTTGCCAATCACATTGCTTGTGTGATTACTCTTATACCAACATGGGCAGTGGTCCATCAAATTATTTCAGTACTGTCACCATTAACCATTACTCAGAGGCAGGCTGCATACCGGATCAACACATGAGAATCACTCAAATTGACACCGGCTGCCTAAATCCCATGGTGCCGGAGGCCATGCTTCGATTAAAGCATTATGCATCAGAAAATTCTTAGTTCACAAAACTGTCCAATCAAAAGCCATAACCACATTCTAGAATCCTACTAAGGCCCCGTTTGGCAGGGCTTCTCCAGCGGCTTCAGGAGCCGTTTGGAGCCGTTTTCTGCCAAACGGGGTAAAATGAAACGGCTCCACCGATGAAGCCCCTAAAAACGTGCTCTCACAGAGCTTTGGGGTGGGAAGGAGCCAAAATAGTAAACTTCTCCTCCTCCTCCTTCGGACCCTAAAACATGCTCTCACAGGGGAAGCCATTTTGCCAAACGGTTTACCAAAACCGCTTCAGCTCCACCGGTGGAGCTGTTCGTGGAGCTGAAGCCAAAAAAAAAATGGCTTCACTAGTGAAGTGAAGCCCTGCCAAACGGGGCCTAAGAAGCAAGCACCTGCTTCTGCTCATTTCTGTCTTCTGCCGCAGCCATCGTGAACACGCACGCCATTTGGTCAGAAGATTGACAACCTAATGCGAATGAGTGATGGGCTCTAGCTTTACTACGCGGATCCTGAAATCTAGAGAGGACTGCACGAACGCCGTGACGCGGTTTGTAATGAAAATAAAATCCTAATCCGGTCGCAACGAGCGGCGACTCTGTGGTTCCAGCTGCCGCTCGCAAGAGAGGCGCCAAGCAAGCAAGCGGCATTCCCCAGCATCACGAATTGCCAATCCCCAAGCAGAGGAAAAACAGAGCGGAGAAGGCCGGGAGCAGAGCAGAGCACTGACCAGTTGCGGCCGAGCACCTCGTGCGCGCGGTACCCCGTGGCGGCCTCGAAGGCGGCGTTGACGTAGATGACGGGGAAGTCGACCTCTGCGGCGTCCGCCACGATGATCGCCGCCGCCCTGGGCTCCCCGAGCCCCGCTGCCGGAGGCGCGCCCCACGGCCACCCCGGATCGTCCTCCGCCTCCGCGTCCACCTCCATCCCCTCCTCCTCCTCCTCCTCCTCCTCCTCCTCCACCACCACCTCCACCTCGTCCTCCTCCCACAGCCTCATCCGCTTCACCGCCACGACGCCGCGACCCCCCTCGTCGTCAAACATGCGAGGCCGGTCGCCCCCCTTTCTCTCTCCTCGGCGTGCGCCCGTGGTTTGTGTTTGGTGCGGGAGGAGGGAAATGGGAGATTCTGCCAGGGCGGGGAGATATTTCTGCGCCTGGATTTTATAGGCGCGGCACGACCCGCAGAAAAGGGGCGTGGTTGCGGGTTATTTACGGGATCTGCCACGCGAGGCTGGCGGAAAATATCTTCCGCGGAGGCGGTAGTAGGGTGGGCCCGTGTCAGGTGGGGCCGGTGGACCAGGGGCGGGATCCCCAACCCCAATCCAACGGTGCACCGTGGGTTTCCTTTGCTTCGCAGGGAAGAAGAAGAAGATGGGGAGTGGGGCCCGCAGCCGCAGAGTACCACGGCCGGTGGCGGCGCCTCCCAACCGTACTCTTTTTGAAAATTGGAATAATATGGGGTATTGTTTTTTATAGGCTGGTTCGCTAAGTTGTATTTGACTTATAAGTCATGACTTATTAATCAATTATTTTTCTCTTACATCAAATCAGTCAACAGTACTTTCAACCATGGCTTATAAGCCAAATCAGCCCAATTGAATAGGGCTTACCTATAAGAAATTGCTTTTCCTATAAGAAATTGCTTTTCCTTAACTTTTCTGTCCAATAGCTTTGCATTTCCTCTTTCTTTATGGACACTGTCGCGTGCAGAACATTGCTCTTCCACGTGTAAAAACCACCTGCTCTCTCTGTCTCCGGTGTCCAGATTATAGGACTTGTACAAATATTAAGATTTAAATATTACTAGCAAAAATATTCGTGGGGATAGTTATTTTCACTTTTATTAAGATGTTAACATCTTTGTCACAGTTCTTCTATTTTTGCATCCGTCGACGACAATATGTATACATGCACCTACAAACACACTATTTAGTGGTTCACCTTCACCAGAGCAGTCGTGTATAGGTAGGTCTCTATTGCGCGCACTAGCAGCTTCATTGACGGCGGCTCAATGTTCGTCGTCTTTCTTAGCGTACAACTAATTTGCCTCTTCTTGTGTATCAGTTATTTTTTATTTATATTTAGTTGAACAAGTTTGGAACAGGAGAAAAAAGCAACGAAATTAGCAAAAAGAAGACATCCGGGTAGAAAAAAATTGGAGAAGAAATAGCATACATAGACAATGGATGGTACCCTGTGCAAGATGGACTCACGTACGGTACCCGTGTGCGTGACGAAAACCTCTCTTGCTCCTAACAGAAATTGGAACACTCACGTGGAAAAAACAGAGAAAGAAAAAGATACAAAAACAAAAATAAAAAGACAAAAAATAATAAGATAAGTTTGCCTAATTTCTACTTTTTTCCTTTTCTATCTGGATTAGAATTAGGATTCCTATTTAACTTACTCAGGATCAGAGAATATATTTGGAAAATGATTCCTACCAAGTATGTTTGAAAAAAATTGAGCCAATAAATCTTAAAATTGATGAAATCACTATAGATGTGTCATGTCAATGAACACACATCGTTTATCACTTAAAAAATAGCATTGGTCAGGTTTCATTATAAGACATTTGTTAACCGGTTGAGTTACGCTTAGTTCGCGCGTGGTTACTTCTAAACAAAGACAACATGTAGTTGTCAAGTATTATTCATTAACTTTACCCATTATTTAGTGTACTTTTTGTATTTTAATTGTAAGGATGTCATGCTTTTAGGCAAAGAATTCATCAAGTAGCTTTCAAGTTTTTTAATTATGTTTATCAACCATAGATATATACTGCATGATGCTTACAATGACGAAGTGAGATGCACTTGTCATGCTAGTCCCTCGGGTTTAGAACATGTCGTTTAGGATATTATTAACTAGAAACATACCCCATGTATTGCTATGAGAATTGCAGAGATAATATAGAATGCCATTAAACTATATGTAACTATTTATATGAAAGGATAAACTATTATAAAATAATATTAGCGGATGGAGTGACACGCTGATATGAACAACCTAATACATGTTAGTAGATGGCGTATGTCTCTCTGACGTGTATATCATAATTGCATATGCTAGTAGACTATAACATTACATCTCATAGTCAATACACCAAGTTTTGTGATTAATATTGGTAACATCAATTATTTAGTGCAGCTCACAGATGTTGAGGTTCACAACTTTGGGCAGCCCACTATGTGAACTAATGCGAACCACGTTGCGATGCCTCTAGCACTGGTCCCACCTTTGGGTATACCTCTGATTTTGCTGGATTCGTTATATTACGTACGTCTGCTACGTTCAATATGGTGTTCATCAGATGTTTATGTAACCTTTTGTTATCTTCTTTTGAATTAAATCACACCTAAATATAAAATATCTAAACGCCCCTAGTTCACTCGTGCTTTGTTTATAATATCAGGTCAATTCATTCACTCCACATATCATGCACATGCTCTCCATCTCTTGTCACAGTCAGCATAATAACCACTAATAATATTGGCGTCATGATCAGTGAAAATAGATGATGTACGCACGGTACCCTTCAAAATATTATAACTTTTGCCTATTAGAATATCATTTACCTTTTCTTGATCTCTAGATCTCGAAAAGAAGAGGGCCCGCCGGAGAGGAGGAGATAGATACCCCACAACCCAGCCGCGAGATATGCTCATCTACTACGAAGCAAAGGGAAGGGCCGGCGAGCGGCCAGGAGTCCAGAACCTTCCGTCCACTGGCGCCAAAATATCTCCCCGTGGCCTCGCCGTAAATGGCCGGCGCCACCGGGGGGCAGAACCGTCACCGGCGCAACCTGCGTAAGATAATATCTCGTGCGTGTCGCCAGCCGGATCTGCCGCTTTGCTCGTGCACGGTGCACCACCCCACGGCCCAGCGGAAATGAAAAATATCTCCGCGGCGCCACGTACGCCACCCGCCCATCCGTGCCTGGTCTCGGAGTGTTCGCCGCCGCTTTCCCTTCTGCCGGCTCGCCGTCGCTGTCGCCGCGACGCGATACGTCTCCATTAAAATTAAAGGTTAATAAAACATTTAATCCAAATCCAATGGTCACGATTGGATGTGGGATGCCAGGCTTCTCACCCCGCCTTCTCACCCCGCGCCCTCCTCACACGCCGCAACCGCGATTCAACGCTCCAAGCCAATCACATGGCCTGCTCATGGAGGATCTCCCGGCCCGCGGTGCGCCGACGAACCCAAAGCTCACCGAGGCGTGGCGCGCCGCCGTCGATGCCTAGGTTGAGCGTGTCATGGTTGCACGTTGCGCCTCCGCGGCGGCGGAGCTGGAGGGAGCACGGCGGGCATTCGAATGGCGCCCTCACGCTCGAGATTTCCTCTAGATCCGACCCTGGTGAGCTCCGGTGCGGGTCCCAGCTGTGGAATTCTACACGGTGGGTGATCTCCACCGATGTGGTTCGGGTGGTTGTGTGAAGTCGATTTCTGCTAGTGGTTTTCTGCGCGGTTTTGCTGGGGTGAGGATTTTACGGGTTTCGCGTTGTATGTGCGATGAGGGAGGAAGGTAGACCAGGTTCACCGGAGCCCTCAGTGTTTTAGCTGAGTCAAGCGTGGCTGTGGTGGCGGATCCGGGAGCGGCGTTGCAAGCGGGGAGGCCTGTGTGGTGGCAGCGGTGAGGTGCGTGCGTCGTTTCTGCCGTTATCATGAGGAAAGAGGCGAATGACGCTTCTCAGGAAGGTGAATACTTAGAAATCGAGGTGAGTTCTCACGCACACGCTTGAATGCACTAGCAAAATTAGAGTTCATTCGCATTGGTACAGTAGCCAATCAATTTGATTTGCACTTTTGAGTTGAATTGCAAACTTGCAACAGCCAAGTTAGGCGTGTGGGTATGAGCATACGCCTAATGAAGGAGTTCGTCTATGCCCAGGTGAAGGTTTGCAATGGGAAGCTTCTGCAAGTTGTTGCTTCAGTAAAGGGTTTCTACTTGGCAGGGAAGCCACACAACGTTAGCCACTCCCTGGTGGACCTGTTGCAATAACTCAGCAATGCGTTTGCTAATGTTAGTAACCTTAAATCTTAAATCTTAAATCTTCATTATCTTCTGTGCTTACCTCTCTTTACTTCATGTTTTTACCTGTCCTGGTACAAATTATATGACTGGTACAAGAACAGCCTATGAAACAAAAAAAAGACAGGCAAAAAATGAGGGAAACAATTGAGTTACAGCCTGCAGTTTGGGAATTTTGCCGTATGGATTCCGTGCAAAAACCTGCAGTCTGATAAATTATATGACGGGCTGTTATCATGCATTTTTATGAAAGGTTTTGTGGGTCACAACAAGGTTATAATAGTGAATATGCTTTGCCATTGTTTTTTATTTTATTGTTCTAAATATTAAATTGAATGATGTAGTTCGAGAACTCTTGATGAGAATAACCTTTTCTGCATCTGCAGTTTGGAAATTTTGCCGTATGGATTCCGTGCAAACACATGGCTTATTCCCCCAATATATGTTGACTCCGCCACAAAGTGCCTAGCACTGCCTGTCGAGGATGAGAATTGGGGTGGAAATGGGGGTGGAGGTGGAGGTAGAGTACATGCCGGAGAAGGCCGATAAGAAGAAGGATGGAGGTTTGTCCAATAAGAAGAAGCTGGAGTGCAGGATGAAGATTGCAGACCTCAAACAGATATGCATCAGACCTGACGTTGTAGAGGTGCACTCTCCATTCCAATCAAGTGACCCCGCTGTTAGCAATTTCATTTTTGCTCATAAAGCCCACTACGTATAGATCATCTATCTTCGTCATGGCGAAACATCAATCTACACTTTCCAATTTCTTGATCTTGAAAAGATTTGCCTCTGCTTTCATAGCAGCTGCAGCAGATGGTGACAGTACCCAAATCACCTTGACTCTAAAAAAAGTGAGGGACAAATGCAAACTATCTTGCTACCCCCACTATGATTACAGAAATGGTAAGCTATCCTATACTGTCTGTAATCATTTTACCTTATAAATGTTACTACTGAAACCTGGCTATTGTTTGTTCCAATAAATGAATTGGTAAGATAGGGTCTTCAAGTAAATGAATTGTTAAGAAAGTTCAAGTTCCACTTTAGATTTTTTTTGTTTGTTTGCAGAAAGTTAAAGATCCACTTCAAAAAGGCAACAGAGAGGGCTGGATATAATAGAAGAATAAAATTTGCAATTGATGTTGCTGCTACTGATTTTTATGTAGGTAAGTAGAAAAGCAGTGCATTTCCTATGCATTGACTATGTAAATGTTCAAAAATTAACTCTCTGAATATGTAGTAGTGACTTCTGAACTTCCTTAAAAAAATCTAGCAGTTCTGAAAATCTTGATAGTAACTCAGGTTCAACACTTCAGTGGTCATTATTTTTTAAACAAGTCATGGTCACGATCTTGCTTTGCTAATGTGTGATTGCGATTTGGTTAAATAAAACTGGATATATACTCAAGTTCTGAAGTCAAATTATATACTCTATTGACTGTAGTTTGTTCTTGTTTGGCTACGTGTGCAGGAGATGCGGGCTTTGTAGAGAGGTTGCAAGGTGATGTAAAAAGAAAATGACAAGCTTCAGGTAGCATCTATGGTCGGTTTTCCTTTTCAAATATATGTGTTAGAGGACTAGGTTGCAGATCTGAATTTTCTAAGCTGATTGTCATTTGAGTATTCATAGAAACTGATTTTTTATCAATGGAGAACAGTCACAGGCCACAACATGTTCTATGTTCCTCTAGACTAGATTATAGTTTTGATTTAACAGTTCTTTTAGAAGCATATTCTATCTAGAAATGTCAGGAAACTGCGGATAAGAAGCTGAAGATTGCATCAACTGCAACCTTATGTGGGTAAAGGGCAACCAAGATCTTTGATTCAGAAATAGAATATGGGAAAGTTCAACTGAAATTGGAGCAACTAATTTCTACATGTAGAAGGGAAGAAGAAAGGCTATGGCCAGAAGAGGAAAGCAAAGCCATAGTACAATGATGTGAGTGTGGGCTTCATACATTGTTCTCTATCTTTTGTAGTTTGTTATATATGTTGCTGTAGTTTTGGATCATCAGGTTTTATCATAGCTGCCATACTAAATTACTATATGTTGTCTGCATTTCTTGATTCCACTGATAGTAAGCATCTGATGCTCCTCGATTTCACATATTTATGTGTAAATGATTGGCTTGCTAAAATGATGGCAGAATAAATGGTTTACATTGTACTTTACATTAGCTGATTTAAATGTTTGAGAACATTTGTGATATGCCAACCTCTTGGAATAATTTAGGGAGGTAAATCAAACAGGAGACCAAGGACGTGCGCAATCTAGAGGAGCTGTTGAAGCATTTAGACAAGCACTACTCTTGGATGAGCTGTTGCCTGCAAGACATGATGACTATCATATGATGCTGAGCTATATAAATCCAGCTAAATATGCTCCGTAGATTTCTGAAAGAAAGGAAATTTGATATCGACAAAGCAAAGCAAATGTGGATTGATATGCTTTAGTGGCGGAGGGAGTATGGCACTGATGTGATTGTGCAGATTAGTGGAGGGAGAATGGCACGGATATCGACAAAGAGAAGCAAATGCTTTTTTTCTTGTTTGGAATATAATGGGTTAATTTGTTGCATCTCCAGACTCTATACCAAATGTGTGTCGTCAATGCTTGTAAAAAAATGCTTAGTGAATTGCCGGAATGCCTTGGTTGTACTTGTACCTATCCTAAATACGGAGGCTGCCTTAAGGCTGAAAAGGGACCATGACCTTAGTTTATGATTTTTTTAGTTTTATTATACTTTATTTTAATTTTATGATTTATTTTTTTAGGCACTACTGTACAACTCCAAGACCTACTTAAGCAAATCATAAGGTAGATGGTTGAGGCGAGATATGACTTATTATGCCTTGTTATGCTTTCTAAATTATATACATGGTCATATACAATTGCGTCTCTGAAATGAAGCCGTGGTGTTAGCACGGGCATTATACTATAAGAGAAGTAGTAACAGTGTGCTTTTGATTCGTCATTGGCCATTATTCAAGGGATCTAGGCAAAAACACGAGGGCGAGCCTTTTGTGGTTATGTAGGCCGAGCAAACGATTTTGTTCATGGAAAAGGGGAACTTTATTATTTCAGACTTGATTAATCCATCTTTCCGCTCTCTCTTTTCATCACAGATAAAAAAAACTCGAGTACGCAAAAGTACCTATGGGACCTGCATTACTCATCCGTGACGCTTGCAATTCATCATAAAAGTCTCCGCTCGATCATATCTCCATGTGACGTTTTCCTATGGGACCCTTCTCTATCCGACATGTACCTATGGGACCTACAGTTACTCATCCGTGACGCTTGCAATTCATCATAAAAGTCTCCGCTCGATCATATCTCCATGCGACGTGTACCTATGGGACTCTTCTCCATCCGACATGTACCTATGGGACCTGCAGTTACTCATCCATGACGCTTGTAATTCATCATAAAAGTCTCCGCTCGGTCCTTTCTTCGTCCGACGTGTACCTACGGGACCCTTCAACATCCGACCTATGGGACCCGATGGCTTACGTGTCATGTGTTCCTATGGGACCGTTCTCCATCTCCATCTGACCTGTGGGACCCGACGACTTGCGTGTCACTTGACGCTTGCAATTCATCATAAAAGTCTCCGCTTGGTCCTTCTGCATCTAACCTATGGGACCCGACGGCTTATGTGTCATGTGTACCTGTGGGACCTTTCTCCATCTCCATCCGACCTATGGGACCCGACGGTTTGCGTGTCACTTGTACCATGTGTGCCGTCGGGGTTTAATTTCTTAAAAAAAATGGTCTGATACCTAGGAGTCGAACAAGGGATCTGGACCAAGAATTGGAGTGTCTTTACCATTGCGCTAGATGCCTAGCTGTGCTGACATCTTTTTGGAGTCGCTATAGTATCCTATTGGCTGTGTTATAGGTTGACCTAAATTGGATATATCCCTTTAAGTGGAAACAAATCTGTGTCCGCTGGGCTTGAGGTGGCGGCGGCGACAGAGGTGGAGAATCCCCGGTCTGTTGTGGTAGCTCAGGCATCCTTTTGTTGGCATGGTGGGGCTCTCCTGATGGAGCGTGGCGGCATTGGCATCCGCGTGATCAGGTGTGTGCCGTGGCAGAGGCGGCTTGCAGCCGAGCCGTGCCAATTCGTAGAATAAAGGTATGAGTACCTTCTTCTGTGATTATGGGACTATATTTTCTATGCACGATAAAGTAAAGAACACATACAGAAAGGCTATTATGTATGAATTTCAATTGAAATCAATGCTTTTGTCACACAAAAATAGAAAACCAGACTGTCCCATAGTATGATATGAACAAATGCACATATTAGTGCTCTCGAACACTGTATGCTTTGTTCTAATGCTAGTTTTGCCATTGTCCACCGAATGGTCGAAACTCTAACGGACTTTGCGTACTTTTGCTGCAACAGATGAATAGATCCTGGATTCCTAATGGGAGACCATTCTCGCCGATGTTCACCACAAGAGTTGAAGAGTTCATGGATATGGTTAAACAAAAATACTCAGAGCAAAACATCCCTTGCCCATGTACACAATGTCTTAACCAGGTGGTTAAAACTTGGCAGGAGGTGAAGGACGACTTACTTATAAATCGAATGTGACCCGCATACACCACATGGATTCATCATGGGGAAGAGGGAGTAGGTATTGACATTATAGAGCCATCAGATGTGCATGGATCTCATCATGATGGTTGGATTGCGGAGGAGGAGCAGGAGGACCATGATGATAATATATTACCAGATTTTTATGATTTAGTTCAAAACCTTGATATCTGAAGAGTGGGATAGAAGAGTCCCAAAGTTTGAAAGAGCGTTGGATGAGTTGAAGCAATCGGTTTCTTCTAGATCTACCTTCTCAAGATTCTCCTTCCTTGTCAGGTTGCTCTATATCAAGTCCCACTATCGAGTTAGCAACAGCTATTTTGATGTACTATTGGCGTTGCTGTTAGATGCATTCCCTAGTAGCAACGTACCAAAATCCTGTGAGGAGAGGCCTGCAAATATATTTGAGAATTGGGACAAGGTTATGAAAGTATCCATGCGTGCAAGAACAACTGTGTGTTGTTTTGGGGTGATCGTGAGGAATTGTAAGCGTGCCCAAAATGCAAAGAGTCTAAATGGGAGGATGCAGATAGTAGCAGGTGGGTTCCTCATAAGGTTTTGAGGCATTTTCCTCTAATACCGAGGATGTAGAGGATCTTTGCTGCTCGAGGAACAGCAGCGGACGCCGAATGGCACGAGACTAAGCGAGAGAAGAATACTAGTGAAATGAGCCATCCAACAGACGGGGAGGCATGTTAGGACTTTAATAGAAAGCACCCAACTTTTGTAGATGATCCAAGGAACTTGAGGCTTGCCGTCGCCATAGATGGTTTTAATCCATTTGGCAACTTTAGCTCGACATATAGTATGTGGCCTCTTCTTGTAACGCCTCTGAACCTGCCACCATGGGAATGAGTGAACCCATCAAATTGCTCCTGGGCCCAACCTCTCTAGGAAAGGATTTTGATGTATTCTTGGAGCCTCTTATAGAAGAACTAAAAGAACTATGGAAGGGTGTCAACACTTTTCATGTACTACATCACTATAATAAGAAAGGCTTCACTCTGCGCGCTGCCATGCTTTGGTGCATACATGATTTTCCAGCATTGAGCACCTTGTCAGGCCGAACTACAAAAGTTTATTATGCATGTATTTATTGTGACAAAAATCCATTGTCAAGGAGCCTAAGAAAAAAGCTAGGCTACCTTGGACACCGTCATTACCTTTCTACGGATCACCCTTGGAGGAAGAGCTTAGATTTTGATGGAAAAACTGAGGACCGAGATGCGTCAGAAAAGTTCACCTTACAAGAGATGCTTGAGGAACTCGAGAAGGTGAAAGATGTTTGCCTAGGTAAGCACGGTGAAAAAAGGAAACGAAAGCATGGAGAAGAGCCAGTGATTTATGATAAAAAATCTACTTGGTGGGGGCTGCCGTATTGGAAGGACCTATTGCTGCCACATAATCTTGATGTCATGCACATTGAGAAGAACATATGTGAAAACATTCTTTGGACATTGCTGAAAGTGGAGGGCAAGACAAAGGCCACAACGAACGCTATGCTAG